ATTCTTGGCTGGGCACGGTGGCTCACACCCATAATCCCAGCACTTTGAAAGGCTGAGGCAGGCGGTTCACCTGAGGTCAGGGTTTCGAGACCAGACTTATGTGGTGAAACCGCATCTCTACTAAAAATGCCAAAAAAATTAGCCAGTGGCAGGTGCCTGTAATCTCAGCTACATGGGAGGCGGAGGCAGGAGAATCGCTTGAACCCGGGAGGCGGAAGTTGCGGTCACACCATTGCACTCCAGCTTGGGCAACGAAAGGGAAACTCCATCTCAAAAAAAGAATATATTCTTTGCCTATGCTACTGGCATTTTTTTTCCTAGCTGCCATCTACATCTTTCTTCTGCAAATGACCAAGCTATCAGTAGTCAGACTTCTTAAACTTGTTTTCTCTGACGTCACACTCACAAACCCTTCCTCAAGATCACATAAATATTCACCTATCTTTTCCTTATGGTATTGTTCTTACATTTAATATTTCTATTTGTCTTATGTTTATTTTGTATTATATAAGAGAAATATAACCTACCCCCAAAAGATAAGCCAATAACCCCAACAAATCCTCTTTTCCCCATTGCTTCAAAACCAGCTCTCATTAAGACAAATCTTTTTTTTTTTTTTCCTAATACTACGTCATGGCTGGGAATGGTGGCTCATGTCTGTAATCCCAGCACTTTGGAAGGCTGAGGCGGGCAGATCACCTGAGGTCAGGAGTTTGAGACCATCCTGACCAACGTGGTGAAATGCTGTCCCTACTAAAAATACACAAATTAACCAGGTGCGGTGGCACATGCCTGTAGTCCCAGCTACTCAGGAGGCTGAGGCAGGAAAATTGTTTGAACCCCGGAGGCGGAAGTTGCAATGAGCCAAGACCGTGCCACTGCACTCCAGCCTGAGAGACAGAGTCTTAAAAGAAAAAAACAAAAACAAAAACAAAAACTATCTCATAGTTACAGGAGAAACTTCCCAGCACAAAGCCAGCTTAAGAGGCCTGGACATTGCCAGCTGTCCCTTCCCCACTTATCTGCAGAGTCTCCAGAACCTGTTCCTAAATCCACGCTCTCTTTGCTATAAGCTCCCTCCCTCCTCCTCCTCCCATCAGCTGACCACTGCTGAGTTAAATCAGTGACCAGGGAGTAGCTAGACTAATACTCAGTGTCTACAGCAAGGAAGAAAAGTAAATTATTTAAACAGGCACATTTGGGGGTCTTTCAAGATCTGAAACTGACGCAGTATTGCAAACTCCACTTTAAGTGGAATATACACATCATCGCCTTAACACCCTCTCACTCACATTTGCTGCTCACAATGCAGGGTTTACAGGGTGTCTCCCACTGACCTTATCTCACAACAGCCCTGTGGTGGCTGGACCCTTAGCCTGCCTTCAGAAAGAATCTTGTTAGGCCAGTTTAGCAAGAATCCCCCCACCCCAGACATCTCTTAGCAATTTTCCACTGATCCCCTCATTCTGCTTGTCGGCTACCAATCCCCACTTTTCCTTGTACCCAGAGGTGAACCTGAGCTCTCCTCCCGATACCAATGCCCCTTATTACAGTGGCCTTGAATAAAGTCTTCCTTACAGTGTTAACAAGTGTCAGAATAATTGTTTCTTTAACCAAGTCGGAAGTGAAGTGATGTGCGGAGTGCGGTGGCTCACACCTATAATCCCAGCACTTTGGGAGGCTGAGGCGGGTGGACCACCTGAGGTCAGGAGTTTGAGACTAGCCTGGCCAATGTGGTAAAACACCATCTCTACTAAACATACAAAAATTAGCCGGGCGTAGTGGTGCGGGCCTGTAGTCCCAGCTACTCGGGAGGCTGAGTCAGGAGAATCGCTTGAATCTGGGAGGCGGAGGCTGTAGTGAGCCGAGATCGTGCCGTTGCACTCCAGCCTGGGTGACAAGAGGGAAACTGTCTCAAAAAAAAAAGAAAGAGAGAAAGAAAGAAATTAAGTAATGTGCCAAGTTCACTTGATTCCTTAACAAAGCCAAATGTTCTGACCGCATCTCTGGACTCACCAACATACAACGGAAAGGCAGCTGTGGATTTTCGCAATGTGCTCTGTGGCAGCTTTGGGCTCAAATGCCTGCTGCCTCCCCCTCCCTGGGTTCTGAGATCCTTCCTCTTCTGCCCCATGCCATCCTCATCCTCATCTTCCCAGAAATCCCATTCCTGGTAGTCAGGAACAAGTGATTCCCCCGGCATCTCACTGCCTCTTATGAAATCCCATCTTGCCAGAATCTTCCAATCTTATTTCACGACCAGTTTTGACTTCCTCCCATGTGTCCCCTTACTAGGAGAAATCTGGACCAATCTAAACTTTCAGCAATGGCAGATTAGAAGACAGGACTTGCTCTAAAAGGAGGTGGTTCTCTGAGCAGCAGCAGCCCTTTCTCCTCTTAACCATGAAAGTGAAGGCAGCAGCAAAAACCAAGACTGAAGCCTTCATGAGTTCACCTCTCCAGCCCCAGCTCCCAGCACTGGTATTCCTTCCACAAATATTTACTGAGCACCTGCTATGCGCTGGGCCACATTCTTAGCACTAGAGACAGAGGAGTGAACAGGTAAGGTCTCTACTTTCAGGGACTGGAGTACTGTTGGAGTGGGGTAGGGTCACCATAAGCAAATAAACAACACATCAAGATAGCTTATGGAGTGGCTCAAGGCTGTAAGCCCAGCACTCTGGGAGGCAGAGGTGGGTGGATCACTTGAGGTCAGGAGTTCGAGACCAGCCTGGCTAACATGGTGAAACCCTGTCTCTATTAAAATTACAAAAATTAGCTGGGCGTGGTGGTGGGTACCTGGAGGCTGAGACACAAGAATTGCTTGAACCCAGGAGGTGCAGGTTGCAGTGAGCTGAGATTGCACCACTGCACTCCAGCCTGGGCTACAGAGCAAGACTCTGACTGAAAAAAAGAAGAAGATAGCTTCTTGAACACATCAAAATAGCTTCCCTCATGCCTTCAGATCTCTGTTCAAAGGGCATCCATTTAAGTGAGTATTCCTTCCCTCTTCCACGGCAGATACCTGAGTGCTTATCCCATCCTACCTACTCACTACTTGACTGTCCTACTGAGTAACTGGGTCGGGCCTCCCTCCCTCTCTCCCTCCCTCCCTTCCTTCCTCTTTTCCTTGCTTCCTTTCTCTCTCCCTTCTTCCCTCCCTCCCTCCCTTCCTCGCTTCCTACAGAGACTCACTCTGTCACCCAGGCTGGAGTGCGGTGGCACTCTCTTGGCTCACTGCAACCTCCACCTCCCGGGTTCAAGTGATCCTCATGTCTCAGCCTCCCAAGTAGCTGGGATTTTAGGCACAAGCCACCACACCCAACTAATTTTTTTGTATTTTTAGTAGAGACAGAGTTTCGCCATGTTAGCCAGGCTGGTCTCAAATCCCTGACTTCAGATGATCTGTTCTCCTCAGTCTGAGCTCAGTTCAACAATGTCCCAAACTGGCCAGGCGCAGTGGCTCACACCTGTCATCCCAGCACTTTGGGAGGCTGAGGCGGGCAGATCATCTGAGGTCAGGAGTTCGAGACCAACATGGAGAAACCGCATCTCAACGAAAAATACAAAATTAGCTGGGCGTGGTGGCAGGTGCCTGTAATCCCAGCTACTCAGGAGGCTGAGGCAGGAGAATTGCTTGAACCCAGGAAGTGGATGCTGCAGTGAGCCAAGATTGTGCCACTGCACTCCAGCCTGGGCAGCAGAGTGAGACTCCGAATCAAAAAATAAAAGTCCCAAACTTAGCTGTTGGCTGGTGCTTCTCTCAGTCACCATGAAGTGGGGTCGGCAACTGGGAACAAGGCATTGGATTTTTCCCCCCTATCGACTGCATTCTGAGTTGTCCCTAGTGTCCCCTCGCCTGGCCCACCTCCTGACCTGGTGTTGAAGCCTTCCTTTGGAATACTGATGTTCGGCTTTCAGCCACACTACCCTGAACACGCCTGACCTCATCTGGATTATTGACGCAATCCCTAACTTTTGAAGTCCCCAAAGCTCCTTTACACAAAGAAAGCCGCTCCCTAACCCAGAGTGCGCCCTCAACTTCAGCAGTCACCAGTTGTGATTCACACAATCACTGATGTGGCCAGTGAATTTTTTTCCCCTTCACCCACTCTATGGAGCCTGGTAAATTGCTTACTGGATCAAACGTTTGGCCCTGGAAAACTTACGACACAACTGTGACTTCATCTGGGCTTTGACCTGCCTGCCACTCTGTACCCACAGAAATGGCCGTCTCACTGAGTTTTCCTTGAGGCGTACATAGGGTGATAACCTGCTTTTTCTCAGCTGAGAGCTGTTGGGGCCTCATGTTAGCTTCTTGAGCCAGAGAGACTCCATCTGAGCTTCTTCATTTCAGTTATTCCCCTCATTAAGTATGCAACCGTAGTATGTAGCCGGGCAGGATGACGGTGGGCACATCCCGGAGCGCATTTGCTGATAAGGGGCCAAGTTAAGCGGCACCAGCAGAGCCTGGGACTGCAGGTGCTGTCAAGTACCCAGAGCCCCCATATCTATAAGTTGTATGTCTTTTTTTTTTTTTTAATACAAAAGTTTATTCTTGGGCTGGGTGCGGTGGCTCACGCCTGTAATCCCAGCACTTTGGGAGGCCGAGGCGGGTGGATCACGAGGTCAAGAGATCGAGACCATCCCGGTCAACATGGTGAAACCCCATCTCTACTAAAAATACAAAAAAAAATTAGCTGGGCATGGTGGCGTGTGCCTGTAATCCCAGCTACTCAGGAGGCTGAGGCAGGAGAATTGCCTGAACCCAGGAGGCGGAGGCTGCGGTGAGCCAAGATCGCGCCATTGCACTCCAGCCTGGGTAACAAGAGCGAAACTCCGTCTCAAAAAAAAAAAAAAGTTTATTCTTAAATGTACAACAGCTCCAAGACAACATTTAATTCCAGCTATAGGTGGCAAAAGATGCTATGGCAGGGAATACAGATGTTTCAGTACGGATGAAATAAAGGGTCACCATCTCCTCAGGGACAAGGAACAGCTTACTTTTTGCCAGATTTCTTAATTCCACCTGTGGCCAGGGGCCCCTTCCCTGCGGCCTTCACTTTCAGCTCCTCGAGTTTCTTCTGTTCTTCCTTTTGTTTCTGATTGAAAGCCTCATCTTCCTCGTCCATCTCCGTGGCCTGCTTCTTGGGCTGTTTCAGGGGCTTCTTCTTGCCACCTTCCCGGCCAGACATGGCGCCTGCCACCCCTTTCCCAGACCCTGCCACCAGACAGTTGCATGTCTTTTTATGACAGCTCTAGCCCTTGCACCTGGTACCATTTTATTTCTCATGTACCAGTTTATCTTTTAATTTTTTGCTTACTCTGCTTCTGTGAAAAACTTGCTTCAGCTAGGTTCCCCCCTCCCTTTTCAAACTGGAGTATGAGAAACCCCCAGACTCTTTCTTCGGGGCTGAATTTTGGGGGTTAGCCATCTCTCGGTCACTAGGTAAAATAAAGGACTCATAATTCAATCTGAGAGTGCAGCACGTTCCTTAACTCACTGGGGAGTAACAATAGCACCAACTAAAGCCCACGCTGCCCCACGGGTTCCCAGAGTCTGGCCCTGTGGTAGGTGTTTAGCAGATGCCTGTTGACTGACAGCATAAGGACATTTATACATTCACATTTCTTTTCTTTTCTGAGACATTGTTTCGCTCTTGTCGCCCAGGCTGGAGTACAGTGGCGTGATCTCGGCTCACTGCAACCTCCACCTCCTGGGTTCAAGCAATTCTCCTGCCTCAGCCTCTCAGGTGACTGGGATTACAGGCACACGTCACCACACCCAGCTAATTTTTTGTATTTTTAGTAGAGGTGGAGTTTCATCATGTTGACCAGGCTGGTCTCAAACTCTTGACCTCAGGAGATCTGCCCGCCTCAGCCTCCCAAAGTGCTGGGATTACAGGTATGAGCCACCTCGCCTGGCCAGAACACTTCTTTAAAATTATCTTCTGTGGGTTTTTTTGTTTTTTGTTGTTGTTGTTCTTTTTGAGACAGAGTTTCGCTCTTGTTACCCAGGCTGGAGTGCAATGGCGCGATCTCGGCTCACTGCAACCTCCGCCTCCTGGGTTCAGGCAATTCTCCTGCCTCAGCCTCCTGAGTAGCTGGGATTACAGGCACGCGCCACCATGCCCAGCTAATTTTTTGTGTTTTTAGTAGAGACAGGGTTTCACCATGTTGACCAGGATGGTCTCGATCTCTTGACCTCGTGATCCACCTGCCTCGGTCTCTCAAAGTGCTGGGATTACAGGCTTGAGCTACCGTGCCTGGCCAGAACACTTGTTTAAAATTATCTTCTGTATTTATAATGCTCCTGCCACTGCCCACCAGGCCTCACCCCAGGGTTGTTAAACACCTTCTCCCGTAATGAAAGAGAAGGTGTAGCTAAAGACAGAACAGCACCTGTGAAGGGGAACTGCTCTGTCCTGCCGTTCGCTCTCTCATGAGCAGTGCCACGGTCACTCACTGTGGCAGGTCCTGTCAGCCCCTGCGGGCCAAGCTCCACGACAAGATGAGACTTGACTGTGTGCTGTCAGCACTGGGGACGTGTGATTTTTCCGTAAAATGTAGGAGAAACCTATCAAAGCTGAGGAGATCAGACAAGTGTCCCTAGTTCTCCTGGAGAAATCAGGAGAAACCCTGCACATGAAGGCATGAAACCACGTCCCCTGACTTCAAACTGGGAGGCAGTCTGTGCGGTACCCCACGCCCCAGAGTTTGCTTTGGGCTCTTGGTGGGGGTGCCCCCTCTGGGTCACTTCCCAAAGTTGAGGGCAGCATTTGGAAGGTTTCTGCAGCTGAACTGGGCAATGAAGAAGAGGGGCCAACGAGAAGGATTCCATTTTCCTTTCAATAGCAAGGAGTCACATTAAGTCACTGAGCAAACTGAATATTGATGTTTTGCTCACAGCCACATCATCAAAAAGGGACAGGATAGAAGGTCTCTACGACATAATACATTATGACATTAACTCCCAATCAGATCTAGCCTCTCTCCCCTTTCAAGAGGGAAAGGAACTGAGACCTGGTGGGTACCTTTCACAGATCTTTGCATTTAACCTCCAAGCCGATCAATGAGGTTTCTTTTCTTTTTTTTTTTTTTTTTTCTTTTTTTGAGACGGAGTTTCGCTCTTGTTACCCAGGCTGGAGTGCAATGGCGCGATCTCCGCTCACCGCAACCTCCGCCTCCTGGGTTCAGGCAATTCTCCTGCCTCAGCCTCCTGAGTAGCTGGGATTACAGGCACACGCCACCATGCCCAGCTAATTTTTTGTATTTTTAGTAGAGACGGGGTTTCACCATGTTGACCAGGATGGTCTCGATCCCTCGACCTCGTGATCCGCCCGACTCAGCCTCCCAAAGTGCTGGGATTACAGGCTTGAGCCACCGCGCCCGGCCATGAGGTGTTTTAATAACAAGTACTATTTGTTGAATTTATGGGAGAACGTGCAAAATGCGGTGTCACATGCGTGCTCTCTTGTTCTTTACAAAAGTCTCACAAACAGCACCGTCCTTGTTTGTTAGCTGATGATGGTGAGGCTGAGAGGTTAAGTCAACTGCTCACAAAATCGGCAAGTGCCAGCACAGGGATTAGACACTGCAGTCTATTCGGACTCTCAAACCCATGCTCCCAACCACTGCATCTTGTAGCCTTCACATGCACCAATCCCTTTTTTTTGAAGACAAGAGTCTCGCTCTGCTGACAGGCTGGAATGCCTCGGCACGGTCTCGGCTCACTGTAATCTCCACCTCTCCCAGGTTCAAGTGATTCTCCTACCTCAGCCTCCTAAGTAGCTGGGATTACAGGCACGCACCACCACACCCAGCTCATTTTTGTATTTTTAGTAGAGACCGGGTTTTACCATATTGGCCAGGATGACCTCGATCTCCTGACCTCGTGATCCACCCGCCTCAGCCTCCTAAAGTCCTGGGATTATAGGCGTGAGCCACCGCACGCGGCCCACCAATCACTCTTGACCAGCTCCCCGTCATATGCCTCTCTGCTCCTAAAGAAAAGTCTGGAGTAGAGCGAGCTGCCTTAGATGGGGGCTTCTGCAGTAGACTATCGAGGGGGGACTGCCAAGGCTACCTGCAGGTTCGTCTTTTCTCTATCAGTGCCCTTGCAAAGCCCACCTCTCCTTCATCGCCCAGGCAAAATCCCCTTCCCTTCGGAGTTCTTCCAAGTTGCCAAGAGAAAGTAATCTCCTCTAAACTAGTATAGAATTTGATAACATTTTGGCATTTACTACCTTCTCCCTACCTGCATCTACAAGTTCCTCGAGGGCAACACCCCATCCTGCTGTAAGTTTATGGCCCAGCCGCTGGCACAGCCTCTGCTGCCTGAATGAATAGATGAATGGCATCCATAGTTTTCAGAGTTCATGGGAGTCAATCAACACACTCATCCTCAAGCACAGACATGGCTCCGAACTCCTCAGTGTTCACATTCACGGCTCTGATTACAACCTCAAGCAAGATTACTCAACCTGGGGAGTCGTTTTTCTCTTGACCAAAGCAGAACGGTCTCAGTCCAAGAGGAAATGAGTTCACACTTCTGTGGACTGAAATCACAGCTCTGTAATAAACTTTTCTGGAACTCAGCTAGGGCTGGAGTCATGAACACTCCCCCTTGTAGGGAGGGGCACTTAGTACCAAATGACAAAAACCTGCTTTAGAAGTGCTGTCCTTGGGCAGAGCTTCGCAACCGGGTGGTGAAGCACTTGCTGTCTGCTCGGAAATTGAAAGGAAATCTGAGCTGATTCACTCAGGGCTGTCAGCTGAGCAGGCCCCGATTTTGCAAGAGAAAAGAAGCCCTTTTGCATCTGACCTCACCATCCACCCCATGTAGCTCAGACAGCCCAGATGTGAGCTCAGGAGGATGAGGTCTGCTGGAATGTGCAGAATGTGGCCATTTCCACTAGCGTCCCTTGGCCTTGATCCCAAGCCTGGTTTGGGACCTTGAAGTGTGCCTTGGTAGATTTTTAGAAAACAGTTGTTTTTGTCTAGGAGGATCTCTTCTGTTCTTCCCTTGCCATTTTTCTCCCTTTGTTCTTTTTTTAATTTTTTTTTTTTTTTTTTTTTTTTTTTGAGACAGAGTTTCGCTCTTGTTACCCAGGCTGGAGTGCAATGGCGCCATCTCGGCTCACCGCAACCTCCGCCTCCTGGGTTCAGGCAATTCTCCTGCCTCAGCCTCCTGAGTAGCTGGGATTACAGACACGCACCACCATGCCCAGCTAATTTTTTTGTATTTTTAGTAGAGACGGGGTTTCACCATGTTGACCAGGATGGTCTCGATCTCTTGACCTCGTGATCCACCCGCTTTGGCCTCCCAAAGTGCTGGGATTACAGGCGTGAGCCACCGCGCTTGGCAATTTTTTTTTGTTTTATTTTAAAGATGGGGTTTCACCATGATGGCCAGGCTTGTCTTGAACTCCTGACCTCAGGTGATCCACCCACCTCAGCCTCCCAAAGTGCTAGGATTACAGGCGTGAGCCACCACGCCCAACTCCCTTTGTTCTAATGTAGGAGAAATTCAAGCAGCAAACTTCCTCTCCAGGGCTCAGCTCTGACACTCTTTTAGATGACTATCTTCTTCCCAGGTACTCATCAGATACATCAAATTCAGTGTCTACTATTACCTCAAACTCCCTGTATCTGGAGCCAGGCATATAAATGTCTTTTCCTCGCCAAGTTGTTTCCTCATCTCTCATCCCTCCTACCTGACTTTTATGCTTCTATTATCTGCTTTCTGTCATTCCTAGGGATCTATCCTGTTTCCTTCCTCTTCTTCCTGCCAATGTTTACTATGTAGCCACTGTATGCTTTTTTATTTTATTGTTCTTTTTTTTTTTTTTTTTTTTTTTTTGAGATGGAGTCTTGCTCTGTCACTCAGGCTAGAGTGCAGTGGTGCAGCCTCACTGCAACCTCAGCCTCCCTGGTTCAAGTGATTCTCCTGCCTCAGCCTCCCCAGTAGCTGGGATTACAGGTGCCTGCCACCATGTCCGGCTAATTTTTATATTTTTAGTAGGGAAAGGGTTTCACCATGTTGGCCAGGCTGGTCTCAAACTCCTGACGTTGTGATCCACATGCCTTGCCCTCTCTAAGTGCTGGGATTACAGGCGTGAGCCACTGCGCCTGGCCCTATATGCTCTTTTAAGTGCTCTCCTCTTTAAGGGACAAGATAGGTACACAAATAGTTA